CCTCCAGTGGTTTTAAAGTTCTCACAACACTCTGTCACCTGTTTCTGTCCTTCAGCGTCAGGCTTTGGAACAGATAAAAAAAGGCTTTCAATAAAAGAACAGTAAAAAATATTAAGAATTGTCCTTTTTACATTAAAAGAGTTTAATTTCCTCGACAGGTACATTCTCTGCTGCAATTGTTTAATAATAGACTTCAATTTGTTGTCTGGATACTTGTCCACGATTTCTTCATTTTCACCGTGAATGAGGCGGGTGTTTGATGTGACGTGTCTGAAATCCATGATCATGTCCTTGGTCTTTTTAACAGTTAAATCCAAGCAATGGTTTCCACACCAGGAGACAAACTGTGCTCATGCTAATGCTAATGCTAATGCTGGTGCAGGACCATGGCCAGTCTCTGAGCCGGCAGTGACACCAGGGCGGGGCAGGCAGTAAACAGGGACAGGATCGGAAGTCAAACTCAAATAATGGGGAAAAGAAGTCAAAATAAAACAAAACTAAGATCTACACCATGACAGCTGTCTCCTGACTCCGCCCACTGCTATTGCAACACACTGTTTTAGCTTTCATTTATTTTGTATTATTTGCAATATACTGAGTGTTTGTTCATGTCTTGTATCGTTGTGACTGTGAAGATGATTTAAAGTAACTAACTCGTTGTTCCTCAAGTGGAGTCATTTGAAGTTGGCGACACAGTAGTTGAAGGAATTCACATTTTTATTATTATCAAGGGTCTCAGGTGGTTCACGGTGATGGACGGAGCGTGCGATCGACAGACGGCAGGTGCAGCGTCAGCAGTGATGTGGTCAAAAGCCAAAACTATATTTACAGTCTGTTCCCGTGTGGTCAGGAGCTCTGTGTGGATTACAGATACACACTGTTTAAACGTCCTCTGAGGAGTGGCTGCTCTTACAGATCAACCCAGTCACACAAGAGGAGCTCGGGGTAGAGGTGCTGCTCCTCTGCAGGACACACTGGAGGAGGCCTGGGAACGCCTTGGAACACGCCTGGATGATTCTGGAGCAGACCTGTCAAACTCCGGCCTCAGAAAGGATTCTGAAACATAATTATTACTGTAAGTTTCAGCATTGATGCTAACGGGTTACTATGGCATGTTATACTGTAAATATAAATAACAATAATTGAATCGGTTCTAAAGTTACAACTAACATGTCATTCGCAGAACACAATATCCAAACTCATGTCAAAATGAATTTGTCAAAACACAAAAATATGTGAAAATAAATAAATGAATACTTTTGGCCCCAAGCAGCTCTTTTATAGTTGAATGAGTTCGTCTGATCTGGAGGAAACATTCTCGTGATGCCGCAGACACTTGATTTATGAACGTAACCCTTCTCTACAAACAAAACCCTTCTCTACGAACAAAACCCTTCTCTACAAACAAAACTCTTCTCTACAAACAAAACCCTTCTCTACAAACAAAACTCATATAATGTCTTACAGATTGCAGCGTTCTCTCGAGATCCACATTTCCATTACCGTCAATTAGATCTGCAGCCAATATCCCAGAATCAATGACTGGAGACGAGGGCCAGATGTTCCCGCTGTAAACACAATCACACGTGTAAACACACTCGCACGTGTAAACACACTCACACGTGTAAACACACTCGCACGTGTAAACACACTCACACGTGTAAACACACTCACACGTGTAAACACACTCGCACGTGTAAACACACTCACACGTGTAAACACACTCGCACGTGTAAACACACTCACACGTGTAAACACACTCACACGTGTAAACACAATCACACGTGTAAACACACTCACACGTGTAAACACAATCACACGTGTAAACACAATCACACGTGTAAGCACACTCACACGTGTAAACACACTCACACGTGTAAGCACACTCACACGTGTAAACACACTCACACGTGTAAACACACTCACACGTGTAAACACACTCACACGTGTAAACACACTCACACGTGTAAACACAATCACACGTGTAAACACAATCACACGTGTAAACACACTCACACGTGTAAACACACTCGCACGTGTAAACACACTCGCACGTGTAAACACACTCACACGTGTAAACACACTCACACGTGTAAACACAATCACACGTGTAAACACACTCACACGTGTAAACACAATCACACGTGTAAACACAATCACACGTGTAAGCACACTCACACGTGTAAACACACTCACACGTGTAAGCACACTCACACGTGTAAACACACTCACACGTGTAAACACACTCACACGTGTAAACACACTCACACGTGTAAACACACTCACACGTGTAAACACAATCACACGTGTAAACACAATCACACGTGTAAACACACTCACACGTGTAAACACACTCACACGTGTAAACACAATCACACGTGTAAACACAATCACACGTGTAAACACACTCACACGTGTAAACACACTCACACGTGTAAACACACTCACACGTGTAAACACAATCACACGTGTAAACACACACACGTGTAAACACACACACACGTGTAAACACACTCACACGTGTAAACACACTCGCACGTGTAAACACACTCGCACGTGTAAACACACTCACACGTGTAAACACACTCACACGTGTAAACACAATCACACGTGTAAACACACTCACACGTGTAAACACAATCACACGTGTAAACACAATCACACGTGTAAGCACACTCACACGTGTAAACACACTCACACGTGTAAGCACACTCACACGTGTAAACACACTCACACGTGTAAACACACTCACACGTGTAAACACACTCACACGTGTAAACACACTCACACGTGTAAACACAATCACACGTGTAAACACAATCACACGTGTAAACACACTCACACGTGTAAACACACTCACACGTGTAAACACAATCACACGTGTAAACACAATCACACGTGTAAACACACTCACACGTGTAAACACACTCACACGTGTAAACACACTCACACGTGTTTTTACTTTCATTGATCGGTTAATCCTGTGCTGTGCATTTCTCTTTAGAATCACTGAAAACAAGAAAGAAGTGTGAGTCTAACTGAACTAAGAATGATCCTTTTTGGGCGAGTAAATGGGCGACATGGGGCGTTTCTGAGCGGAGTTTGCATGTTCTACCCATGTTTAGTCGTTTTTTGAAAGGGACGGTGCACAGTGAGTGTTAAACACACGCACACACTGTGGATATTGCACACACACACATGTTGACACAAAACGATATTGCCATCCACTCAGCCACCCTACTCTAGCATAAAAAGAAGCCGTATATAATCTATCTTTCGCACAATAAGGAACGAAGTCTATAATCTCCAACTTTAACATGATGAAGACGCAAGACATAAACGACTTGTCAATCATTCTTGTGAAACATTCCCCTCACACAAGACCAGAGAGTTTATGGAGAGGGAGATTCTTTGCCAAATATTGGGAAAATCCACCAATACACCTTTGCTCCACCCAGAGGCTACTCCACCTCTGCTGCTGTGACCTGTCCTGCTCCACCCAGAGGCTACTCCACCTCTGCTGCTGTGACCTGTCCTGCTCCACCCAGAGGCTACTCCACCTCTGCTGCTGTGACCTGTCCTGCTCCACCCAGAGGCTACTCCACCTCTGCTGCTGTGACCCGTCCTGCTCCACCCAGAGGCTACTCCACCTCTGCTGCTGTGACCCGTCCTGCTCCACCCAGAGACTACTCCACCTCTGCTGCTGTGACCTGTCCTGCTCCACCCAGAGGCTACTCCACCTCTGCTGCTGTGACCTGTCCTGCTCCACCCAGAGGCTACTCCACCTCTGCTGCTGTGACCCGTCCTGCTCCACCCAGAGGCTACTCCACCTCTGCTGCTGTGACCCGTCCTGCTCCACCCAGAGGCTACTCCACCTCTGCTGCTGTGACTCGTCCTGCTCCACCCAGAGGCTACTCCACCTGTGCTGCTGTGAACTGAAAGGCTTTTGCTAATTATTACTATCGTTGGCTTTTTAGAATGCCAACAATTCTATCTATCTTCAAAAACCCCTGACTTTGGCATAAAACGCTTCCAATCGAGGCCAAATTAGGGTTGGTGGAAACAGGGCTTTTGACAGCATTAAAGTCCCTGCTCCGTACTTCATTCTGTTGGATAAGTTTTCCGGTTGCCCTGTGTTCAGACTCTGCAGGCTGCTCCGTCTCTGACCCACGGTAAGTGTGTAACCGGCTTAATACATCTTCATTAACATCCCCACGCTCTGCCACGACGGCGACGGCACCAGATGCTGCGGTTAAGCTTTGTTTTTGTCTCAGTTTGTTCATAAAAGAATCAGGTCTGACACGGACTAATGATAACAACTGTATCTGGAACATTGTGGAGTAAAGCAGCTCAGGAGATGTACACATCCATCTTATTTAGAGCGACGCCCCAAAGAAATGAGCAGGAAGTTTAAGCGGAGCAGTTCTCAATAAAATCTGTCAAAATCCACAAGAGTGACTTATCACCGTGGTACTTTGCTTTTTTTGTTTCATTAATTAAGATTCTTGTCAAAGTAAGATGTCGAACAAATTAACAAATCAAACCACAGCCTGCTAGAAATATTAGAAAACATGTTATCTTTATGTAACCAGATGATAGTTGTTGGTGTTATTTTGAATCAGGAAAATAATGTAAAAGCAGCCGTTTGTAGTTCTTTCATGTCTGACTCTAGAGAAACACTTTCTCTTTCTCTTCAAACAACGTTAGTTCCATACCTTTATTTTAACATTAAATAAAAATCGACACTTGACTCTCAAGATAAGACAATAGTGGTGGACTACAAAAACAGCTGGTGTATCTGCTCTCACTTTCAGTTTGGTGGGAACAGCTCAAACCAAATCCAGAACAACTGAGAACAGAACAGTCGTCTTTCTCCCCTCTACATAAACACAATCGTTCACACATTTCATGAAACACCACAAAAGTAACTACGCTCACAACCGTAAACACTCTTCTAATTCACCTGTTGTTTGTTGAGTCTCTCCAGATTTAATTCCACATTATTTGTCGAGTGCTTTTGTGCTGACACCTTTAGCATCGTGCAGAGAACGCGCTGTACCCTCGGCGTCTGGCGTCCTGACAGCCGCCACGTTCTTTATGCACGTCGCCATCGCCTGTTTACGAGGAACTGACTCACAGCTTTTTACTCCAAAACTTCTGTACTCCTCCACCAGAGAACACAACCTGACTTTGCAGAGAAACACTTCATTTACCGTCCAGGAAATTATCCCAACGGGGGCAATGGGATTCAGACGCATCTTATTTGAATGTATTTTTTGTGGAAGTAGAAACAAACACAGCTCCCTGCCCTAGATGCAACTGATTTCCCGCTAATTCAAGGCGCTGAAGAATATATGAGACTATAATCGCCTGTGAATTGATTCATAAATAAGAAACATGGCTGGCGTCCCCTGGCTAATGTATAATTCATCGGCTTCACCTTATTTACCGTATGCTAACTGACCTCTACGCTGACTTTCACTGTTCCCGTCTTAACCCTGATTTAAAATGCAGTCTAACATTGCTTAACTTTTCGCATGCTAATAAGTCAATATTTGTGTGCTGACTGGCTAAGCTACTGTTTAAAATGGCACACACTGTCATAGGTACATTAGCATGCTTACCTGGCCGTGTCTGAGGATTAGCATGCTAGCAGAGACATGTGGTGCGATTAGCATGCTAGCACTGACTGGTTTATTCTCTGACACCGGCTCAGGAGCAATGGGAGACTTGACAGTTTACTTCTTGTCCTTAACATTGGGGTTATGACTTTCAGGAGTTAGACGCGTCCCGCCAGGAATATCGAAAAACAGACATTGTTTATCCCAGAGATGGAGAGAAGCTTTTTTTGCTGTTGTGTGCAATAGTTGTCTGAATGTCATGATTTCAGTGACATGTTATATTACATTTGGTAAATCATGACATTCTTGAGCATAAATCTACTTCCTGTATATTTGTAAAAATGTTTTTTTACTTTTAAACTTTAAAAGTGGTCCAGGGGTCTGTCCCATCGACCAAAGTCGTCCCAAACAAGCTGCAGAAGATCACGACACAGAAAGGTCTGTATACTTGTTGCTGCTAAACAAAGTAATTATAAGATTCTATTGAATTTCATAATAATTAGCACTTCTGGGGAACTTAGATAAAATTGTATAAGTAGACGGTGAACAAAGCACTTTTAAAAAAAAGTGTATACAGTGATATATTTTACTGGAGACATTTGACTTTGAACTCGAGGTTTGTATATTCTACTTCTGAACTTTCCTTACACTCTTGATCCACAAACAAACACGCACAGTTCTCCAGCTTCAGTCTTTAATGCATGGCTCAAATAAGATACATCTGATCAGATTAGTTTAGCCTCAAGAAGAAATATTATGCAGTATTTTTGTCTGTAGTAAATGATAATGAGACTAATAACATTTACATTTCTCGTAGGCGGTCAAAGTATTAAAGGTAAAAAATGCTACGATGAGCCTGTGCTATCCCTATGAGTCAAGCACGCTGCAGTGTTAATAGTATCCTTTTACACAGGAAGTAATCTATTACATCCTGTGCTGTGGCTCAGTAAAGGATCCCAGAGAGTTCAGCTTTCTACAGTTTGTACATTCTCTTCATTGTATAAACTGTTCAATATTTATCTATTGGATACACGCCTCACTCATGGTTCAAATCAATTTGATCTCCCATGAGCCTTTGCCCTTGTAGCGTCATGTTTGTGGCATTAACCTGAACAAAACCATCTGCAACAGACCAGAGGTAGTTTAAATCCACGTAGTTGTAGCACATTGTGTTGAGTTTTGTTTGTGACTTTTGCACTTTTGCAGTGTTGTGGCTGCACTTGTCGTTTGTTGTTCTAACTGGGGCAGTTGTGTTGTTTTCATTCAGCTGTGATTTACTCTGAGAGACAATAATGAATGCATTTAATTATTCGTCAACAATTCACATTCATTTGTGTTTCACTGTGATATCGTGTAGCATTTATATTAAACTTATTAGATAGAACCAAAGGCCCTTCAATGATCTGGCCCCGATGCAGAGGTTATGGTAGAATACATGTATTTAGAGCGTGTACATGTATTTAGAGCGTGTACATGTATTTAGAGCGTGTACATGTATTTAGAGCGTGTACATGTATTTAGAGCGTGTACATGTGTAGAGGCCAACTGTTTGGTTTTAAAAGGCAGAAAAATGCTCTGAGTCTGACGTCAGAGTGGTTCAACGTCAGACAATTAACGTCTTTTCACGATACGTTTGACATGTTTTAGAAAAAGAAAATGGCGGGTGGCAGTGGCTCAGTCGGTAAAGCCTCAGTCGGGGTTGCCATGGAATCAAAGCCTGCCCCAGTCCTGCCACGGATGTCTGCTGTGGTTGTGCCCAAAGGCAAAACACTTCACCCCACTCTGCCTGAAGCCCCGGCTGAAAGACCAAGACAAGGACTATATAAAGGAAACGAAACGAAAACTTTTTAAGAGATATTTACCAACAACGACTTCCTCTCCTCACAGCACCTGATGTCCCCCTGGACCCGTCCTGGACCTGCCCTGGACCTGCCCTGGACCTGCCCTGGACCTGCCCTGGACCTGCCCTGGACCCGTCCTGGACCTGTCTTGGACCTGTCCTGGACCTGTCTTGGACCTGTCCTGGACCTGTCTTGGACCCGCCCTGGACCCGTCACGGACCTGCCCTGGACCTGTCCTGGACCTGTCTTGGACCCGCCCTGGACCCGTCACGGACCTGTCCTGGACCTGCCCTGGACCTGTCTTGGACCTGTCCTGGACCTGTCCTGGACCCGTCCTGGACCTGTCCTGGACCTGTGTGGAGCCAAGTTTCAACCCATGTCTGGACAGGTTTTTCTGGGTTTTCTCCGGTTTCTAACATAACTCAAAACCAATCCTGCCGGTCCGGGCCGAGAGCACAGATATCTGTATAATCTCTCCAGGCGCTGCTCTGACAGGTTTCCCCCAGAGCCTTCGGAAAGATGGGTCACGGAGGAGAACCGTACGGTCCTCTGTCAGGCACGTCCAAACTCAGGCCCCGGGGCCAATTGCGGCCCTCAGTGTTGCGACAGGAGGCCCCTGGACTCTTTTTCTCGTACAAACGCAAAAAAGTATTTAGTCAGCCTCCGATTGTGTAAGTTCTCCCACTTATCATAAAGACAGAGGTCTGTAATTTTCATCATAGGTTCACTTCAACTGTGAGAGACAGAATGTGAAAACACATCCAGGAATTCACATTGCAGGATTTTTAAAGAATTTATTTGTAAATTATGGTGGAAAATAAATATTTGGTCGATAACAAAAGTTCAAGTCAATACTTTGTAATATAACCTTTGTTGGCAATAACAGAGGTCAAACAACTACTATAGGTCTTTACCAGGTTTGCACACAGTAGCTGGTATTTTGGCCCATTCCTCCATGCAGATCTTCTCGAGAGCAGTGAACACGGACTTTCAACTCCCTCCACAGATGTTCAATGGGGTTGAGGTCTGGAGACTGGCGAGGCCACTCCAGGACTTTCAAATGCTTCTTACGGAGCCACTCCTTCGTTGCCCGGGCGGTGTGTTTGGGATCATTGTCATGCTGGAAGACCCAGCCACGTTTCATCTTCAAAGAGGACAGAGGAGCTTCTTAAAGAAGAAGTTACAGGTAGTAGTAAGTAGTAGTAAGTAATCTTTATTTATATACCGCCTTTTCACTGCAGATCAGAGTCTCAAAGCGGTTTACAATTGTTAATTATGGGCATTTATCTCTCACTCCACACAGAGATGGGAGCGGGGTCGCCGGTACAGGAGGCGCATGCTAGAACTATTGGACATATTTTTAGTGGTAGGGGAAACCGGAGTACCCGGAGGAAACCTACGCAGACACGGGGAGAACATGCAAACTCCACTCAGAAAGGCCCTGGTCCGACCGGGATTCGAACCCAGGACCTTCTTGCTGAGAGGCAAGAGTGCTATCCACTCAGCCACCGTGCCGCCCACAGGTCTGTGAGAGCCAGAGATCTCTGTTGTTTGAAGTGACCAAATGCTTATTTTCCACCATAATTTACAAATTTGTACTATGGTGTGGTAAGACCAGGCTAGAAATGATGCACTGTGGGAGGAAAATGATTACCTTTTGTTTGTGAGTTGGCTCTCATCAACATGTCTCTGCTTCCTACCGCTGAAAAAAAAAAAAAAAAAAATCCGGAGACGATGGTATCATTTCTCTCTCTTGCTCTTGTGTACGTCCCTGGTTTGATGTACGGCCCCCGTGCGGACGCCCAATCACAGAGCTACATTTCACAGAGGAGCGGGGGATGTGGCGCCTCTGCGTTGTGACAAAACTATTGCTCATTCCTCCTCTCAATATTTATCATAGGACAATTTCCACCCTGCGCCGTGATTTATGAGCCATCAGGCCTGGCCTCGTCACCGCCGGCAACCGTTCGCCAAGCATTCACCAAGCATTCACCAAGCACGTTTTTGTTTGGTTTCATCACAAGCTGCGGGCCATATAGGTTTAGGAGAAAGACTTGAATCCCTTAGATTAAAGATTAAGATTTAGAGAGATCCTTTATTCGCCCCATCATCCTGCCATGAAACCAAATGGGACAGCTGATGAACAACAAAACTGTTATGTATTTTGAAAGACATATTTCTACACACATCAATAAAACAGACACATTACTTGTTCCTGGTTAAAAAAGGGTTTGAATGAAGCATTTTTTATTTTGATCCTCCCCTTCACACATGAACTGTTTTAACAGTAACATGCAGTAGAAATCTCAAACATACAACAGTACAGTACAAACAGTAACACACTACAACGTCCGATGGTATAAGACAGACAACACAAAACACACACACACTCTCTGACAACACACTGACAACACACTGACAACACTCTGACCACACTCTGACAACACTCTGACAACACACTGACAACACTCTGACAACACACTGACAACACACTGACAACACTCTGACAACACACTGACAACACACTGACAACACTCTGACCACACTCTGACAACACACTGACAACACACTGACAACACTCTGACAACACTCTGACAACACACTGACAACACACTGACAACACACTGACAACACACTGACAACACACTGACAACACTCTGACAACACTCTGAAAACACTGACAACACACTGACAACACTCTGACAACACTCTGAAAACACTCTGAAAACACTGACAACACTCTGACAACACACTGACAACACACTGACAACACTCTGACCACTGACACTCTGACAACACACTGACACTGACAACACTCTGACAACACTCTGACAACACTCTGACAACACACTGACAACACACTGACAACACACTGACCACACTCTGACAAACTGACAACACACTGACCACCACACTCTGACCACACACTGACCACACACTGACCACACACTGACCACACACTGACCACACACTGACCACCACACACTGACCACACACTGACCACACACTTTGACCACACACTGACCACACTCTGACCACACACTGACCACACTAACTGACCACACACTGACCACACTCTGACCACACACTGACCACACTGACACACTCTGACCACACACTGACCACACACTGACCACACACTGACCACACTCTGACCACACACTGACACACTCTGACCACACACTGACCACACACTGACCACACACTGACCACACTCTGACCACACACTGACACACACTGACCACACTCTGACCACACACTGACCACACACTGACACACCTGACACTCTGACCACACACTGACCACACTCTGACCACACACTGACCACACACTGACCACACTCTGACCACACACTGACCACACTCTGACCACACTCTGACCACACACTGACCACACTCTGACCACACACTGACCACACACTGACCACACACTGACCACACACTGACCACACACTGACCACACTCTGACCACACACTGACCACACACTGACCACACTCTGACCACACACTGACCACACACTGACCACACACTGACCACACTCTGACCACACACTGACCACACACTGACCACACACTTACCACACACCCCACACACTGACCACACACCACACTGACCACACACCACACTCGGACCACACACTGACCACACACTGTACTAACTGACCACACACTGACCACACTGACCACACACACTGACCACACTCTGACCACACACTGACCACACACTGACCACACAGTGACCACACGTCTGACCACACACTGACCACTACTCCTGACCAACCACACACTGACCACACTCTGACCAGCACAATGACCACACTCTGACCACACACTGACACACACTCTGACCACACACTGACCACACACTTTGACCACACTCGGACCACACACTGACCACACTCTGACCACACTTTGACCACACACCTGACCACACTCTGACCACACACTGACCACCACACACTGAACACACCTGACCACACAATGACCACACACACTGACCACACACTGACCACACTTGACCACACACTGACCACACACTGACCACACACTGACGCACACGTTGACCACACAGACCACACTGACCACACACTGACCACCACCACACTGACCACCACAACTCTGACCACACTCTGACCACACTCTGACCACACACTGACCACACACTGACCACACTTGACCACCACACGCGACCACACAACTGACCACACTCTGACCACACACTGACCACCACATCACTGACCACACAGCTGACCACCACACACTGACCACACTGACTGACGCACACTCTGACCACACACTGACCACACTCTGACCACACACTGACCACACTGAACCACACACTGACCACACACTGACCACACACTGACCACACACTCTGACCACACACTGACCACACACTGACCACCACTCGCTGACCACACACTGACCACACACGGACACCACACACTGACCACACTCTGACCACACCCTGACCACCTGACACACACTGACCACACTCCTGACCACAACTCTGACCACACACTGACCACACACCACACACACTCTGACCACACACTGACCACCACACTGACCACACACACCACACACTGACCACACACCACACACTGACCACACGACCACACACTGACCACACTCTGACCACACACTGACCAACACACTCTGACCAAACTGACTGACCACACTGACCACACACTGACTGACACACTCTGACCACCACTGACCACACACTGACCACACTCTGACCACAACACTGACCACACTGACCACACTGACCACACTGACCACACACTGACCACACTCTGACCACACACTGACCACACACTGACCACACACTGACCACACTTTGACCACACACTGACCACACACTGACCACACGTCTGACCACACACTGACCACACCTGACCACACTGACACACTGACCACACACTGACCACACACTGACCACCACACACACTGACCCCACACTGACCACCACACTTTGACCACACACTGACCACACACTCAGACACACTTTGACCCACACTCTGACCACACACTGACACACTCGTACTGACCACACACTGACCACACTGACCCACAACTGACCACACTTTGACCACCACACTGACCACACTCTGACCACACTCTGACCACACTCTGACCACACACGTTGACCACACTGACCACACTTGACCACACACTGACCACAACACTGACCACACCTGACCACACACTCTGACCACACACTGACCACACTTTGACCACACACTGACACACACTGACCACACACTGACCACACACACTCTGACAACACTCTGACAACACAACACTGACAACACACTGACAACACTCTGACAACACACTGACAACACACTGACAACACTCTGACAACACTCTGACAAAACTCTGACAACACACTGACAACACTCTGACAACACTCTGACAACACTCTGACAACACTCTGACAACACTCCGACAACACAACACTCTGACAACACACTGACAACACACTGACAACACTCTGACAACACACTGACAACACACACTGACAACACTCTGACAACACTCTGACAACACACACTGACAACACTCTGACAACACTCTGACAACACACTGACAACACTCTGACAACACACTGACAACACACTGACAACACTCTGACAACACTCTGACAACACTCTGACAACACTCTGACAACACACTGACAACACTCTGACAACACACTGACAACACACTGACAACACTCTGACAACACTCTGACAACACTCTGACAACACTCTGACAACACACTGACAACACTCTGACAACACTCTGACAACACACTGACAACACACTGACAACACTCTGACAACACTCTGACAACACTCTGACAACACTCTGACAACACTCTGACAACACTCTGACACCGTGAGCCCAGATTCAGTTCATAAACCTCTTTCAAAACTCATCAGGATGGATTTCTTTCTCTTTCGAATCTCGAAGGTCAAACCTGTAGAAAACAAAAGACGCCGATCCTTCACCACCGCCGCGGCAAACGCGATTCCATCAGTTCTGGTGGATCCAAGTGAGAAGAAAAGCCTTGATCCAGTTTTCTATACATCAAACCAAATGCACGCGCTCTCATCTGTAACGTTTTCCTCGACTGTCACCGGCTTTAGCAAACGTGGCTAACGCAGGCGCGCCGTAGCCACGCCGATGATCAATGACGACGGAGCAGCTAACCATTAAACGCTCCGGACCGCTAATATGCAAAGCACGGTGGGAGATGACTGATGCCTTTTCCCGCCGGCTGGGAGAGAAGTTGTCAGAAAGATTATAAATTGCACTTTTGGTTGCACAGGGGCACGAGGCGGCGGTCTGCATGCTAAGAGCCGCCACGATTTTATGTCGAGAGTGAGTTCAAAATGACGGACGTTTGTCAGAATTTAATGCAGAAATAAGACCAAGCATTCAAGAGTTAATTATAAAACAATACTTAATTGTCTTTACAATTAAATATGAATACAAAACTCTCTGAGCTCTGTTTCCCAAACTAACCCTGAACATGTCCTGAGCACACCCAGGCTCTGCCATGTCCTCTCCCTGTCCCTGCTCAGACTGCTCACAAAATGTCCACCAACACTTTTATCAAAATGTCCGATGACGTCATGGTGAGACCGACTGAGGCCCTGGTCTGGGTCTGGTCTAGTCCGGTTTTGGGTCTCAGGCCTTGTTCCGATAACAGAGAGGGATTCTGTTCCTAAAATGATACTTATGTCACAGAAACCAACATTGTCCTGGAATCTTCCCTGAATTCACTAAACTCAGGCCACACAAACTGAAGATGGCTCGCAGCTCTGCAGCGAAACATGTTAACAAGGTACTACATCTAAACTTGTCTTTCAAAAGAACCAAACACAAATATTACACAAAGATGTTTTATGCACCTAATGATAATCATTAGTATAAAACATTTTAAGGACATAATTCTGAAATCTACAACACGCGCCATAGAGCTGTCTGAGGACGAGTTCGTGGGATTGAGCTGGAAAAAAAAAAAATATGTTTTGACCAGAGAGACAGAATGAACACATGTTGGCGTTCCAAGGGCCAGACCTGATTATGCCACTTTTTCTTAAATTACCACTTTTTATTGTACGTAACTATATCCTGAGGCACAGTCTGATCTGTGCCAGATGTGACATGTACATTTCTCCATCAGAGATCAATAAAGTCTGATCTGATCTGATCTGATCTGATCTGATGTGCCACAGAAAAAGCCATAATTTTTATTTAGCAAAGACTAGAATGATAAGCAGGACATTTTTCTAGTTAGTTTTTGATGTTTTTTATCTTTCTCACCGTTTATGAGAAATTGTCATAAACTGTCACTCGTCATTGAGAGTAGTTTCAAAAGGATTCTTGTTTATTTTAGTAATTTATATTGTCCTTGACTCTAATGACAGCGACGCCCGATGTTCTGTGTTCTCTGAATATGTGATACGTGGACGATTGGGCAGCCGTGCACTTGTACATTTTGGATCATCAGCTTCATCTGTGGAAGAGTGGAGCCTGCAGGGTTTTGTTTTGGTATTTGTCCAGTAAAGTTAGTTCTTCACAACAGCATGCCCTCCTGACTGGCCTCCTGCTGGGACTCTGAGGAGCACAGGGACAGGACTCCTGCTGGGACTCTGAGGAGCACAGGGACAGGACTCCTGCTGGGACTCTGAGGAGCACAGGGACAGGACTCCTGCTGGGACTCTGAGAAGCACAGGGACTGGCCTCCTGCTGGGACTCTGAGGAGCACAGGGACTGGCCTCCTGCTGGGACTCTGAGAAGCACAGGGACTGGCCTCCTGCTGGGACTCTGAGGAGCACAGGGACTGGCCTCCTGCCTGTAGACCCAGGACCCAGGACTGAGGCTGTAGACCCAGGATTGAGGCTGTAGACCCAGGACTGAGGCTGTAGACCCAGGACTGAGGCTCGTAGACCCAGGACTGAGGCTGTAGACCCAGGACTGAGGCTGTAGACCCAGGACTGAGGCTGTAGACCCAGGACTGAGGCTGTAGACCCAGGACTGAGGCTGTAGACCCAGGACTGAGGCTGTAGACCCAGGACTAAGGCTGTAGACCCAGGACTGAGGCTGTAGACCCAGGACTGAGGCTGTAGACCCAGGACTGAGGCTGTAGACCCAGGACTGAGGCTGTAGACCCAGGACTGAGGCTGTAGACCCAGGACTGAGGCTGTAGACCCAGGACTGAGGCTGTAGACCCAGGACTAAGGCTGTAGACCCAGGACTGAGGCTGTAGACCCAGGACTGAGGCTGTAGACCCAGGACTGAGGCTGTAGACCCAGGACCCAGGACTGAGGCTGTAGACCCAGGATTGAGGCTGTAGACCCAGGACTGAGGCTGTAGACCCAGGACTGAGACTGTAGACCCAGGACTGAGGCTGTAGACCCAGGACTGAGGCTGTAGATCCAGGACTGCGGCTGTAGACCCAGGACTGAGGCTGTAGACCCAGGACTGAGGCTGTAGACCCAGGACTGAGGCTGTAGACCCAGGACTAAGGCTGTAGACCCAGGACTGAGGCTGTAGACCCAGGACTGAGGCTGTAGACCCAGGACTGAGGCTGTAGACCCAGGACTGAGGCTGTAGACCCAGGACTGAGGCTGCAGACCCAGGACTGAGGCTGTAGACCCAGGACTGAGGCTGTAGACCCAGGACTGAGGCTGTAGACCCAGGACTGAGGCTGTAGACCCAGGACTGAGGCTGTAGACCCAGGACTGAGGCTGTAGACCCAGGACTGAGGCTGTAGACCCAGGACTGAGACTGTAGACCCAGGACTGAGGCTGGATTGCATAAGACATTATCTCATATATTAAAACATGACAATATGGAAACCAGAGCACCTGGAGGAAACCGGAGCACCTGGAGGAAACCTGCACAGACACAGGGAAACCATGCAAACCCCACACAGAAAGGCCTGGAGGTGGAATCAAAACACAAACTCTAACTCTGCCCGTGTGTCGGCCATATTAAAATCAGAGAATAAGTCCAGTAAGAAATGTGACAAAAATAAACACAGCAGGTGTGAAAAAGAGAGGTGTGAACGTGAGAATGGCGCCGCCGCACCTCGCCTCTTCTGTGAACGCCGTCTCACCCGTAGATGGAGGTTGTGTAATCTGCTGTTTTAATTAAACGTATAAAACAAGCCGCTAAATGAATGTAAATGATGTGTCCAGTCCCATGTTCCCCGCTCTATTTGCTCTTTATAATGAAGTCGATTACTCCTGGAGCCGCCGCCGCCGCCGCCGCCGCCATCTGCCAACGCCGTCACATTGTCATCGAGTTGTTTCCAAAGTTGTTTCTCCTTCTCTGCAACAAAACACCAAAAAGAGAGGAAAAATAATTGCGATGTACTTTCCATCTTTGAGAACGCTTCATTGGAACTGACGCAACAAAACAACAACCTTTTTAATAATCTTTCAGTGTTATCCTCCAAAATGATCCAAAATGATCCAAAATGATCCAAAATGATCCAAAATGATCCAAAATGATCCAAAATGATCCAAAATGAATCGAGTGTTTTTTATATTTAGTTTTTTACTGTTTTTTATATGTATACAAACATTTCAGTTTCACATACACACACAAGCACACACTTAATAATCATTTTAATAATGCAGAATCAGAAGCATACTGTCGCTTTTAGTTGTTACTCAAACCATCATCGACATCACCATGTTCACTGGACTGGACTGGACTGGACTGGACTGGACTGGACTTGGGATTTTGGGCTTTTCAATTCAAACACTCCTGTGTCTGTGTGTCTCTATGTTTGTGTGTATGTGTGTGTGTGTATGTGTGTATCTGTGTATGTGTGTGTGTGTGTGTATGTGTGTGTGTGTATCTGTGTATGTGTGTGTGTGTATCTGTGTATATGTGTGTGTATCTGTGTATGTGTGTCTGTGTATATGTGTGTGTGTGTGTGTAGTATCTGTGTGTGTGTGTGTATTTGTGTATGTGTGTGTGTGTGTGTATCTGTGTATGTGTGTGTGTGGATCTGTGTGTGTGTGTATCTGTGTATATGTGTGTGTATCTGTGTATCTGTGTGTGTGTGTGTGTGTATCTGTGTATGTGTGTGTGTGTATCTGTGTATGTGTGTGTGTGTATCTGTGTGTGTATGTGTGTGTGTGTATCTGTGCGTCTGTATGTGTGTATGTGTGTGTGTGTGTGTGTATCTGTGTATGTGTATCTGTGTATGTGTGTATCTGTGTATGTGTGTGTGTATCTGTGTATGTGTGTGTGTGTATCTGTGTATGTGTGTATCTGTGTGTGTGTGTATGTGTGTATCTGTGCGTGTGTATGTGTGTATGTGTGTGTGTGTGTGTGCGCTCTCCACATTCCTCTGTATCTTGTCTGTGGAAAAGCCCAGAGTTGGTTCAGTGGATCTGTGTGAGTGACATGTGGCAGTGGCCGACCCTGAGCTGCTCCAGAAGAACCAAAGTGTGGTGCTGCAGTGGATCAGCATCAGTCCAGGAGCAAGAATCCACGGTGTCAATATGAAAAACAGAACTGCACCTTTCTTTGAGCCTCATTCAAGACGTTCTCCTTAAACCTTGTACTGTGAAAAACCATTATGTCATTTCATGTTTTTAAAGTTTATAAAATCCAATCTTCTTTATGTGCTGTATAAAGGACCTTTTATAAAACACATTTCCAAAGCTGCAGAGATAAAATGAACACATTTAAATATACAGGTTCAGCTTTATATGTTTAAAATAGTAAAGTAAGTAAAACATTATACACAAAGTATAAACTATAGCGATTGAATAAAAACTATAAAATACCAGTAAACAAGAAAAATAAAAGTGAAAAAACAATATAATAAAAAACAGATGAAAAAGAGGATCCCACGACTCACACACATACACACTCACACATGTTAAACACTGCTTGAACTAAAAATATATAATTCCTCGATCAATGTATTTTAATGTAAAGAAGCAATATGCAAGATTTTCAAGTCAAGTCATCATTAAACGCCCTAATCTGTCATCATTAAAGGGCCCTAATCTGTCATCATTAAAGGGCCCTAATCTGTCATCATTAAAGGGTCCTAATCTGTCATCATTAAAGGGCCCTAATCTGTCATCATTAAAGGGCCATAATCTGTCATCATTAAAGGGCCCTAATCTGTCATCATCAAAGGGCCCTAATCTGTCATCATTAAAGGGCCATAATCTGTCATCATTAAAGGGCCCTAATCTGTCCTCATTAAAGGGCCATAATCTGTCATCATTAAAGAACGGACAATTAGAGACTGAGGTCTTCAGAAAGTCCACTCACACTGACCAGTACCTGGCCTTTGACTCAAACCATCCGCTACAACACAAACTCGGGGTCATTAGAACGCTTCAACACCGAGCCCACCAGGTCCCCACAAGCTCGGAGGGAAAGAACAGAGAAACCAAACATGTTCAGAGAGCACTTTCCAGATGTGGCTACCCCAAGTGGTCTTTTACTAAAGCCCAAAGGACGAGAAAGGCCAGAGACACAGTCCAACAGACAGAAGAAAGTAGGTGGAGAGGGGTGTCCTTACCGTATGTGGCGGGAGTTTCAGAGAAACTACAAAGAATCTTTAGGCAACACAAAATCCCTGTGTATTGCAAACCTTTCAACACGTTAAGACAGAAATTAGTGCATCCCAAGCGGTCTGAGAATTCATTCCCTGAAGAAGTCCGCTAGTGTGAGGACGAAACGTCGGGAAAACTTGCTGAGAAGTACAGATGATGGGTGAGACCCCTTCCTTTGCTTTGACTAATCCCTGTACGACTGAGGGCTTGCACAAACAAAACTCTTGTCTATTCAGCTGTTATGGTCCCAGCTGGATTCGTCTGCATATCTGGCAACCTGAGTCAGGGAGAGTGGGAGAGGCTGCAGTACCACTTTAGGCCACATGTTTACATACTGCTGCTTTAACAATGTATGAATATAAACCTTTCCAAACCTTTTCGAGAGACTTACTGCTTGTGCTGTCCTGGCTTTGCTTGTTCTGCTGCTGACGGTCTGAACCCTGACCCTGAGCGTGGTCTGGTCCACATTCAGGTCCACATCCAGGTCCACATCCACATCCGGGTCCACATCCGGGTCCACATCCGGGTCCACATCTGGGTCCACATCCAGGTCCACATCCGGGTCCACATCCGGGTCCACATCCGGGTCCACATCCAGGTCCACATCCAGGTCCACATCCGGGTCCACATCCGGGTCCACATCCGGGTCCACATCCGGGTCCCCATCCGGGTCCACATCCGGGTCCACATCCGGGTCCACATCCAGGTCCACATCCGGGTCCACATCCGGGTCCACATCCGGGTCCACATCCGGGTCCACATCCGGGTCCACATCCAGGTCCACATCCGGGTCCACATCCGGGTCCACATCCGGGTCCACATCCGGGTCCACATCCGGGTCCACATCCGGGTCCACATCCGGGTCCACATCCGGGTCCACATCCGGGTCCACATCCGGGTCTGTGTGGTGTCTGTGTGTGGTGTGTGTGTGGTGTGTGTGTCTCCTCCGGCCGCAGAGGACGTGTGCGCCGGGAATACCTCTCAAACCACATCAATAAACGGCTTAACCAACGGTTTCACTGCCTGTCCCCCGAGAGAGGCAGAGAGCAGCAGCGCCAACGCCACACGGCCACGCTCCAAACCCCACGGCCACGCTCCAAACCCACTGCCACGCTCCAAACCCACGGCCACGCTCCAAACCCCACGGCCACGCTCCAAACCCACTGCCACGCTCCAAACCCACGGCCACGCTCCAAACCCCACGGCCACGCTCCGAACCCCACGGCCACGCTCCGAACCCACGGCCACGCTCCGAACCCCACGGCCACGCTCCGAACCCCACGGCCACGCTCCGAACCCCACGGCCACGCTCCAAACCCACGGCCACGCTCCAAACCCCACGGCCACGCTCCGAACCCCACGGCCACGCTCCGAACCCCACGGCCACGCTCCGAACCCCACGGCCACGCTCCAAACCCACGGCCACGCTCCAAACCCCACGGCCACGCTCCAAACCCACGGCCACGCTCCGAACCCCACGGCCACGCTCCAAACCCACGGCCACGCTCCAAACCCACGGCCACGCTCCAAACCCCACGGCCACGCTCCAAACCCCACGGCCACGCTCCAATCCCACGGCCACGCTCCAAACCCCACGGCCACGCTCCAAACCCACGGCCACGCTCCGAACCCCACGGCCACGCTCCGAACCCCACGGCCACGCTCCAAACCCACGGCCACGCTCCAAACCCACGGCCACGCTCCAAACCCACGGCCACGCTCCAAACCCCACGGCCACGCTCCAAACCCCACGGCCACGCTCCAATCCCACGGCCACGCTCCAAACCCCACGGCCACGCTCCAAACCCACGGCCACGCTCCGAACCCCACGGCCACGCTCCGAACCCCACGGCCACGCTCCAAACCCCACGGCCACGCTCCAAACCCACGGCCACGCTCCAAACCCACGGCCACGCTCCAAACCCCACGGCCACGCTCCAAACCCACGGCCACGCTCCAAACCCCACGGCCACGCTCCAAACCCCACGGCCACGCTCCAAACCCCACGGCCACGCTCCAAACCCACGGCCACGCTCCGAACCCCACGGCCACGCTCCAAACCCCACGGCCACGCTCCAAACCCACGGCCACGCTCCGAACCCCACGGCCACGCTCCGAACCCCACGGCCACGCTCCAAACCCCACGGCCACGCTCCGAACCCCACGGCCACGCTCCGAACCCCACGGCCACGCTCCGAACCCCACGGCCACGCTCCGAACCCCACGGCCACGCTCCAAACCCACGGCCACGCTCCGAACCCCACGGCCACGCTCCAAACCCCACGGCCACGCTCCGAACCCACGGCCACGCTCCAAACCCCACGGCCACGCTTCGAACCCCACGGCCACGCTCCGAACCCCACGGCCACGCTCCAAACCCACGGCCACGCTCCGAACCCCACAGCCACGCTCCAAACCCCACGGCCACGCTCCGAACCCCACGGCCACGCTCCAAACCCCACGGCCACGCTCCAAACCCACGGCCACGCTCCAAACCCCACGGCCACGCTCCGAACCCCACGGCCACGCTCCGAACCCCACGGCCACACTCCAAACCCACGGCCACGCTCCAAACCCACGGCCACGCTCCAAACCCCACGGCCACGCTCCAAACCCACGGCCACGCTCCAAACCCCACGGCCACGCTCCAAACCCCACGGCCACGCTCCAAACCCCACGGCCACGCTCCAAACCCCACGGCCACGCTTCGAACCCCACGGCCACGCTCCAAACCCACGGCCACGCTCCGAACCCCACGGCCACGCTCCAAACCCCACGGCCACGCTCCAAACCCACGGCCACGCTCCAAACCCCACGGCCACGCTCCGAACCCCACGGCCACGCTCCGAACCCCACGGCCACGCTCCAAACCCCACGGCCACGCTCCGAACCCCACGGCCACGCTCCGAACCCCACGGCCACGCTCCGAGCCCCACGGCCACGCTCCGAACCCCACGGCCACGCTCCAAACCCACGGCCACGCTCCGAACCCCACGGCCACGCTCCAAACCCCACGGCCACGCTCCGAACCCACGGCCACGCTCCAAACCCCACGGCCACGCTCCGAACCCCACGGCCACGCTCCGAACCCCACGGCCACGCTCCAAACCCACGGCCACGCTCCGAACCCCACAGCCACGCTCCAAACCCCACGGCCACGCTCCGAACCCCACGGCCACGCTCCAAACCCCACGGCCACGCTCCAAACCCACGGCCACGCTCCAAACCCCACGGCCACGCTCCGAACCCCACGGCCACGCTCCGAACCCCACGGCCACGGCTCCAAACCCCACGGCCACGCTCCAAACCCACGGCCACGCTCCAAACCCACGGCCACGCTCCAAACCCCACGGCCACGCTCCGAACCCCACGGCCACGCTCCAAACCCCACGGCCACGCTCCAAACCCACGGCCACGCTCCAAACCCCACGGCCACGCTCCAAACCCACGGCCACGCTCCAAACCCACGGCCACGCTCCAAACCCCACGGCCACGCTCCAAACCCACGGCCACGCTCCAAACCCCACGGCCACGCTCCAAACCCCACGGCCACGCTCCAAACCCCACGGCCACGCTCCAAACCCCACGGCCACGCTCCAAACCCACGGCCACGCTCCAAACCCACGGCCACGCTTCGAACCCCACGGCCACGCTTCGAACCCCACGGCCACGCTTCGAACCCCACGGCCACGCTCCGAACCCCACGGCCACGCTCCAAACCCCACGGCCACGCTCCAAACCCCACGGCCACGCTCCGAACCCCACGGCCACGCTCCAAACCCCACGGCCACGCTCCAAACCCCACGGCCACGCTCCGAACCCCACGGCCACGCTCCAAACCCCACGGCCACGCTCCAAACCCCACGGCCACGCTCCGAACCCCACGGCCACGCTCCAAACCCCACGGCCACGCTCCAAACCCCACGGCCACGCTCCGAACCCCACGGCCACGCTCCAAACCCCACGGCCACGCTCCAAACCCCACGGCCACGCTCCGAACCCCACGGCCACGCTCCGAACCCCACGGCCACGCTCCAAACCCCACGGCCACGCTCCGAACCCCACGGCCATGCTCCGAACCCCACGGCCACGCTCCAAACCCACGGCCACGCTCCGAACCCCACGGCCACGCTCCGAACCCACGGCCACGCTCCAAACCCACGGCCACGCTCCAAACCCACGGCCACGCTCCGAACCCCACGGCCACGCTCCAAACCCACGGCCACGCTCCGAACCCCACGGCCACGCTCCGAACCCACGGCCACGCTCCAAACCCACGGCCACGCTCCAAACCCACGGCCACGCTCCAAACCCACGGGCAGAATATTGGAGGAGAGAATATTGATTTAAAGGCCCTGATGTGTTTTTTAAGTCTTATTTTATTGTATTACAGGAGCAGGAGTGTAGAAAGGGAAATGGAGTGTATAGACCCGTCCAAACTCAGGCCCAGGGGCCAATTGCGGCCCTTAGTGTCATTGTCTGTGGCCTCACCCAAAGTAGTCTTTTGGATCATAAACATGTGTCATCCATCCAACTTCAGCTCAGCCAATATAAACCTGTCATAACTGGTTCTAAAGCTTCAGTACGTTTGGAGTTCAGCCGTTGACTTGTGAGCTGGTGAGATGGTAAACATGTGTCATTCAGCCAACTTCAGCTCCGTTATGGATCATTTTGAAGCTCAGAACAGCCCGATGTCAGTCAAGACAGTTTTTCAGTCCGTGACCTCTGCCCTGGACTAGTAGTAATCTTTATCTTTAGTAATCTTTATTTATATACCGCCTTTTCACTGCAGATCTGAGTCTCAAAGCGGTTTACAATTGTTAATTTTTTTGGGCATTTGTCTCTCACTCCACACAGAGATGGGAGCGGGGCCAGTACAGGAGGCGCCTGCCAAACTATTGGGCATATTTTTAGTGGTAGGGGACCACTAAAAATATAATAATAAACCGGAGCACCCGGAGGAAACCTACGCAGACACGGGGAGAACATGCAAACTCCACTCAGAAAGGCCCTGGTCTGACTGGGATTCGAACCCAGGACCTTCTTGCTGAGAGGCGAGAGTGCTATCCACTCAGCCACCGTGCCGCCCTACCACCTACTGGTCTGGTGAGATAACGTGGCCCTCGTACTAAAAAGTTTGGACACCCCTGGGTTAGATAAAGGCGGCAGAGCGGTGTAAATAAGGCCTTACTTTAGTTAGAAAGAGAAATGACAAAGTGCTGTGCAGGTGTTATTTTGCCTTTTAAAAGCAAGGCAAGTTTATTTATAGAGCACAGTTTATAAATGTCAAAGTCGAAGTGCTAAACAGAATTTAAAAAACAATCACACGAGACAGAAATAATACTGTTCCAGGTCGTAGCATGAATCTGAAAGACTGCCTCCCCATTACATCCAGAACGGTTTTATTTTCTAATTCCAACGAAGACATTTCTTATATCTTTAAAAAAAATATAATTTTACTCTAAAGATAAAGATAAAATTTGCCATTTTTCAGCAGTTTTGGACTTATTTTAAACCACTTTTTGCAGTGTCTTTGCTTTTTCACTTTTGTGTCTGGGGAAATGTTCTAATTTCAGGCTAATTTAAAGATGTGACGTAGATCTTTGCCGTAGCCTTCAGTCACCACAGCGGCCAATACCGATACATGTTTACACAATCCTACGATAAAATAGAAGAAATCCTTTCACTACAGTTGGACTGATCCAAAATAAAACTGTTCAGAATTAGTTACAAATTCTACAGACAAAAAAAACAAAACAAAAAACAGCTTAAATTGGAAATGACGCACCTCATTCCCACTCAGGGGTCCAACAGGGGCACTTCCTGTTATGGCCTCGTTTCTACCATTTCCCCGTCAGTGTTACTGACACTCGCCTCAACCCTTTAAATGCATTTTGTCTGGAAATTGAAAGCTTATATGTAATAAAAGAGTGGAAATAGCAGCGCAGACCGGGCCACGACACCTCCCTGCAGGCTGTTAGCTGTTTTTATGACATGCAGTGAGTATTAGCGATAATGGAGTCTGTGTGGAGTCCGAGGGAAACATCTGAGTGGACAGGCTGCTGCCGAGGATTACACTGTGCAGAGCAGGTGGGTCATCACCGGAGCAGAAGTGACCCAGAAAAGTCCACTTCAGGAGCGATGTGCAGCGGAGGGGACGGGCCGGGGCTGCTCCTTCACAAGAGATTTGTGTTCAGAGAAGTGGCCGTTACACACAACGCAGGAAATGAGAACAAGGAAGTGACTTATGGCTGGGTTTTCCCAGTTCAGATTGTGTATTTGAGCAAAGTATTTTATGAATAGTTATTTTGCAAAAAAGAGATAAGTGCCATTAAAGAAATAATAATAACCCTTTACATGTCATTATTCTTTCACTGCAGACACAGCAGCACACGCACAAACACAGCTGCAGCTGGGCCACTGCGGCACCTGGTGTTCCCAGACGTCTCCCATCGCAGTACTAAACAGGCCCTGCCATGCTTAGCTTCAGAGCTCTTACAAGATCTGGCTCTTGCAGGTCTGTGGCATAGGTCAAATGGGCAAATGCTAAGGTCGTAGTGCGTGGGGGCGCTTCTTTCAGAAAGGGAAAGAAAGTATGTTACTAACTTGTTGGTGCAATTATTTCTTAATACAAAAATAATCCCAGGTTAATCTAAATACAAAGCAAAGCCTCCTGATAATTATAGAGTAACAATACGTCGGGCCGGTTGAGGTTGTGTGTTGGACCCCAAAGCAGAGACAGAGACTGAGCATGAATCAAAACATGAGGCAGGCGATGGAGACAGGGAGCTGTCAGAACCATCTGACCTGACACAGGACACACACAATAACTACAAAACACAAAAGAACAAACTTACACTGACGCCTGATATTGAATCATCCCCCCCCTCCCCCCCTCCGTTCACCGCGGTAAAGTGGTCGGTAATGGGGTCTGCAGGTGGTGGCCCCGTTTGGCTGTTACTCAATATAAAAGTGCAAAGGAAAGAAGTTGGGATGAGCCGCTAAAATACACTTTTTGAAACTTCATTTAAAAAACCATCTTAAATAGTTTTATGCGACTATTGTCACTGTACACGTGTTCGCTGTGATGTCATCTACCAGTCCACAGGGGGCGCCATGACAGATTTATAGGACGCCCGATGGCCCAGGGCCGGACCTGACTCTGGGACTGGGATCTCTCATCTTTTTAATTGGGAGGATTGTATCTTTTGACCCCGGTTCGATCGTGACATACATATGACCCACTTTATCCTCCTCATGTACAGCTGAATGGACAACCCTCTGTGTTTGTGCTGGTCCCAAACCCATAGTGACAGCTCCACACATGATGAATGTTGTAATAGTGTTTAATTACCTGGAGATGGAGACGTTTTTAATAATGCGTCTGCAGCGTCGTCTTTGGGGAATCCCCGAAAGATTCAATCAGAGTTTAATAATGGTGATGAATGGAGCGGAGAGTTTGTTTGACTTGATTCTGTCGAGATGTAAATGAGCAGAAAGACGAGAAGGACAGAGCGCAGAGGCGGCGGCTGCAGAGACACCTGCTCCTAAACAACAGCAAAGAAAGAAACAATTCCACTTTTACTGTACGCGGCATTAAAGGTGACGCGTGTAACCTCGACTGATGTTATTGCATCAGATATGGTGTGGTTTGGAAATGTGACTGTTAAAACAAAAGGTAGAACTCAGATTAGAGCACATAGAGCCTTTAAAGTTCTGGGAGTTAGAATGCATCCATCTTTGCAACAGATATTTGAGGAGACTGTTATAGACAGGCAGAGAAAGTCCCCTCAGACCCTCTCAGGTCCTTTACGCTCCGAGGCCCTCAGATCAGGGCATTGATCAGTCTGGACGCGTAGAACACACACAGAACACACACAGAATATACACAGAACACACACAGAACACACACAGAACACACACAGAACACACACAGAATATACACAGAACACACACAGAACACACACAGAACACACACAGAACACACACAGAATATACACAGAACACACACAGAATATACACAGAACACACACAGAACACACACAGAATATACACAGAACACACACAGAATATACAGAGAACACACACAGAACACACACAGAATATACACAGAACACACACAGAATATACAGAGAACACACACAGAACACACACAGAATATACACAGAACACACACAGAATATACACAGAACACACACAGAACACACACAGAATATACAGAGAACACACACAGAATATACACAGAACACACACAGAACACACACAGAATATACACAGAACACACACAGAATATACAGAGAACACACACAGAACACACACAGAATATACACAGAACACACACAGAATATACAGAGAACACACACAGAACACACACAGAACACACACAGAATATACACAGAACACACACAGAATATACACAGAACACACACAGAACACACACAGAATATACACAGAACACACACAGAACACACACAGAACACACACAGAATATACACAGAACACACACAGAATATACACAGAACACACACAGAATATACACAGAACACACACAGAACACACACAGAATATACAGAGAACACACACAGAATATACACAGAACACACACAGAACACACACAGAATATACACAGAACACACACCGAATATACACAGAACACACACAGAATATACACAGAACACACACAGAACACACACAGAATATACACAGAATATACACAGAACACACACAGAATATACACAGAACACACACAGAACACACACAGAACACACACAGAACACACACAGAATATACACAGAACACACACAGAACACACACAGAATATACACAGAACACACACAGAATATACAGAGAACACACACAGAACACACACAGAATATACACAGAACACACACAGAATATACAGAGAACACACACAGAACACACACAGAACACACACAGAATATACACAGAACACACACAGAATATACACAGAACACACACAGAACACACACAGAACACACACAGAATATACACAGAACACACACAGAACACACACAGAACACACACAGAATATACACAGAACACACACAGAATATACACAGAACACACACAGAATATACACAGAACACACACAGAACACACACAGAATATACACAGAACACACACACAGAACACACACAGAATATACACACACACAGAACACACACAGAACACACACAGAACTACAGCCTCCTCGTGTCTGCGTAGGTTTCCTCCAGGTGCTCCGGTTTCCCCTACCACTAAAAACATGTACAATAGGTCTGTGCGTCCTGTAGGCGACCTGCTC